TTGTCCAGATCTCTATCCTTTTTATTAGAGAAAAACAAAAGCTCACACTATAAATATTACATCATTGGATGAGTCCGTTTTTTTTTTACCGAAGCAAGGCAATAAAGCCACTATTACAAGGGAGGGTTACAGGAAGCGAAAGAGAGAGAGAAAATGGCAATTCACATTGCATTTAATTTTTTGTCGGCTGTAGATGCCAGCGGAGCAAGAAGTCGGAAAAGTTTTTGTTTTTGTTTGTTTTACGGGATATCAACCTCAATGGGTTATTTAATGCCGAGAAGGTTTTTATTGCTGGTAATATTTTTATCTATCTCAGTATATATTGGTTCGTTTTTTTTGTTTTTTTTTTGTTTTACGGCATATCAGCCTCAGTGGGTTTTCTGACAAATTTTTTATTAATGGTAATATTTTTTATCTATCTATCTATCTATCTATCTATCTATCTATCTATCTATCTATCTATCTATCTATCTCAGGTTTTATTGGTTTGTTTTGTTGTGTTTTACAACCACAATGGATTATTTAATGCCGACAAGATTTTTATTGCTGGTAATATTTTTTTTCAAAAATGTATTATTTTCAAAACTGTATTGCTGGTAATAATTATTTTTCAAAACTGTATTGATGGTAATAATTTTTTCAAAACTGTCTTGATGGTAATATTTTTTTTTCAAAACTGTATTGATGGTAATAATTTTTTTCAAAAATGTATTGCTGGTAATAATGCATTGCTGGTAATAATTTTTTGCAAAAAATTATTGCTGGTATTACGACCTATTTTTACGCTTTCATAGTGTTATGACCCCAGTTTACGGGTTAACTATTTGCCCATAGCTAGGACCCTAACAGTTGCTACCACCCCGGGTCAAGGTGAACCTGGGAGCACCAGCAATTAAGAGGTTCCACACTCCTCAAAACCTCCTGATCTCTTGCTGTCGAATGTAGTTTATCGTCTTACCAAGGACACAGATGTAGTTTATCGTCTTACCTAGGACGCGTATGTAGTTTATCGTCTTACCCAGGACGCAGATGTAGTTTATCGCCTTACCCAGGACACGGATGTAGTTTATCGTCTTACCTAGAACGCGGATGTAGTATATCGTCTTACCCAGGACGTGAATGTTGTTTATCGTCATACACAGGACGCGGATGTAGTTTATCGTCTTACCCAGGACACGGATGTAGTTTATCGTCTTACCCAGGACGCGGATGTAGTTTATCGTCATACAAAGGACGCGGATGTAGTTTATCGTCTTACCCAGGACACGGATGTAGTTTATCGTCTTACCCAGAAAGGGAAGTCGGAAAGGGGATTGCACAGACAAGAAATGCGAGAAAAAAAGTTGTTAGAACAAAAGAGATGATTGCAACTTCGTAGCTCAACAGTAATTGAGACAGAGTTACCTATCTAATAGGCTTAAATTCATGCAGTCGAATAAGTACAAAGAAAAGCTCCTCAGGACAGTTGCTATGAAAATACTTGTAGAAAAGTCAGAGTGAAGCCACGTCATGTGAGAAAGTGACTGAAGACGAGATGCCAGGCCAGGATTGATCACACTACAGAACCTTTTTGAATTTTATAAAGAATCTTGAGATATATAGTATAAGTACCAGGCAAGTTATGGCATCAGTGTTCAATGCACGGAGGAATGGTAGATTTACAAATGTGTAAGGTGGTTTCTGACGACAAAAATTATAAACAGAATTCTTTCTAACTGTAATGTTGAAATTGGTATCTGTAATGATGAAACTTAGAAATGATACCGGAAACTGTTCTTGATCCGATGTCATTTCAGGTCGGTCTCAGTTTGAATTTGATCTTGCATACTGAAAGAATTTTCGATCTTCGGGAAGTTTTACATAGACCTACACCAACGCAAAGGGCTTGTCTTATGGTTAGTGGGAATGTAGCTAAACAACAGATCAATCTTAGCCTTCCTCTCTTCTATGTTAGGCTTTTCCTACCGAGAAACCTACTTAATAATATTAAACGGGGAGAGATAGGTAAAAGTCTGTGAATTGGAGATGGATGAATAAAACCTGAAAGAAAGGTAGGAAATAAAAATATCAGGAAAAAAAGAAAAGAAACCAGTTGAAAAGAACACACACACACACACACACACACACACACACACACACACACACACACACAATATATATATATATATATATATATAATTATTTTTTATAAAAAAATTATAACATAAGTATGTTATAAAATCACTACAAAAATAGCCATTTTGTTTCAACACACTCTGTGTCTTATCAAGTGATGATGTTGAAAAGAAAATGAATGGTTTTAAAAGTTTCAGATTAATTAACGATCCTACACTAGGGGGAAACATTGTTACAAAAGCTAGAATAACCAATCAAAAACGAAGTATAGAAAAATTCAAAAGCTTGACAACGAAATCCTGCTATAATAGCTATTCAGATCTTTAAATAAGTGTAATATTAAAAATAATTTATACTAACTAATAATTATAAATTTATATGATAAAATTTAATATTAAAATTAAAAAATGGCAATTTTTAAAATCCAAATTTAATCACTATTAAGTTTAAAAACTACAAAATTATTGAGAAAAGAAAAAATATATATGTTTATTCAATTCATTTCTTCATTGAAATTACGTTCGACAAGACAAGACGCTACAATACATCCGGTCATTTGATATATATATATATATATATATATATATATATATATATATATAAAGAAAGAACAGTGAGATATATAATCCGGTGTTTTTATTGATATTTTTTATTTTTATTTTTACAAAACAGAGCATAAATATTATAAATTAACTGATTTACAATATGGTTTCTTCGCTACACAGTAATAACCATGTTTCAAAAACTGAGGCTGAAAGCTTCAAATTTAATTATATAATTAAGCTAAAAGCATTAGTTCTGTTTCATCTTCAAGCGAATTTTGGAATAACTTACTTTGAAATATACTGAGTTTTAAATGCACATACAATTCATAATTTCCTGTTTCCAAGGATACAGAGAAATTCAATCATTCAGACAGGGGCGGTAGCGTGTTCATTTTTATTAACTATTGTTGTATCAATTATGAGTTACGTTCAAAAAAGAAGTTAAGTTTAGGGAGGGTAGGAGTGCATTTTTTCAACGAATTCTGATATCATTTAAACGCATGTCTTTTTTTTTTTAACGACAAAAAGATTTTCGGCATTTTTTTCGTACTTGTATACTTAAAAATTCTCTCTAAACGGGGTGTTTGGGTTAGAATACGTTTTATTTAACTACAATTTTTAAATATTTTTTACTCTTAATTACTAATGGACTATATTTCTTTTTAAATCAAGTAAATGTAATAGAATTACTTAAATGATTTAAAATTATTTTTTCATATCAAATATAAGTATATATATATTACCAGCTTTTTTATTTTATTTTTAAATATTATTTAAGGAAAATTTTTGACAATGTTCGCAAAGAAGAGATATTTGATTTCTTCAGTAAATGTGGTGCAAATGTGGCTATAAATCCGAATAATTGTTGAAAAGACCGAGGCGAAATGCGAACTAGACGAACCAAGTTACTCTTATTTGCTTATTGTAGTGATTTTTGTCCTTTCATCATTAAATGACCCAACAAGGTTATCGTTAAATTCTCAAACAAAAGGGATTTTTTAAAATCGAGCGTTATTTCTGCTTACAGTAAACGTTATTTTCAGTGGGCACACATTTGAGTTGAAAGTTTTGAGATTTTTTACTTAAATTCAAACTGTATACACTGAAAAACGAACCGTGGACAATTTCTGAAGGAATTTCTAGCTTTGTTGAGGAGGATTAATACTAACTTGGAAAAGTTGGTCATTAAAATTGATCGACACAAAATGTCTGTCGTTTTTAATAGTATTTGCATTAAAGAACACGCAAACATGCATATATATATATATATATATATATATATATATATATATATATATATATATATATATATATTGCGTATATTTAGGCAGAAATTTTTCTATTAATGCGTGTTTCATTAAATAATATAGAGAAGTTTTGTCTATTTATTTTAAGTAAGTTCCTTTCATATTGTCTGATAAGCTTAATCACATTATCGTTGAAAGACGAAAGGAAAACACCATGTTTAAATCCAATCTAACCTTTCGGCTGACACAAGCCATAAACAAAGATGACAATTTCAATAAATCTAACAACGCACGGACGAAACAACAATGATAGTCCGCCCTAGCTACATAAAAATTTCCAAGTAACGACAAACTCGTATATACGAGACGCGGAAGCGAAAATCGCGTCGCAACTCGTGATGTCACACATGATCACGCGAGAGTGAAAAACGAGAAGTATTAAGTATGGGAAGCCGTTGGTATAAAACAATGGCTTCTGTCATAACTTGTCTGTATTATTTAATGAAACATATATATATATATATATATATATATATATATATATATATATATATACACTATTAACGTAGAACGAAACATCGCTTAAATGAGTGGTGTTATTTCAGTCATACTGACTTCGAAGTTTCGTGAGCGCTTGTAGTAACGTATTCAATCTTCAGAAGTGTTGGCTTCTCTCTCTCTCTCTCTCTCTCTCTATATATATATATATATATATATATATATATATATATATATATATATATATATATGAAAATATACCAGAACAATATTGGTGAACGTAATGATAATTTGGAAAAACTTTATCGTATGACGCGTTTCGTCGGATTAAGTCCTAAAGGATGATATGCGTCCCAAGAAAGTCCTTTTACACTTTGTACACACGCACACACACATATACATGTATATAAAAAAGAGAGGTGTTATTAAGCTGTAGACGAAGGAAAGTATATTCAAGTTTCCTGGTTGGATATGAATTACCAAAGAGTTAAATGCTGAATAGTGAAACGGTAGCAATGCCAAGGAATTGTGACAGATTAAAATTCCACACGAATAGATAGAGCAAACGAACGACAACAGCGAGGCAACAGTAGAGTTATTTCCATATTTCGTGTGTCTTTTTGCATCTCAAATGAATTTGAGACTGAGATAGATAGATAGATAGATAGATAGATAGATAAAAAAATATTACCAGCAATAAAAATCTTGCGGTATTAAATAACCCATTGAGGTTGATATGCCGTAAAACAAAAGAAACCAAACCAATATATACTTAGATAGATAGATAGATAGATAGATAGATAAATATGAATTGAATGGAAGAGATAGATAGATAGATAGATAAATATGAATTGAATGGAAGAGATAGATAGATAGATAGATAGATAGATAGATAGATATGAAGAGACCTAGATAGATAGATAGACAAAAATTATTACCAGCAATAAAAATCTTGCGGTATTAAATAACCCATTGAGATTGATATGCCGTAAAAAAAAAACAAACAAAACTAATATATACTGAGATAGATAGATAGATAGATAGATAGACATGGAGAGACCATAATAGATAGATAGATAGACATGGAGAGACCATAATAGATAGATAGATAGATATGAAGAGACCAAGAGAGACAGATAGACATAGAGAGACCAAGATAGATAGAGAGATAGATATGAAGGGACCAAGAGAGACAGATTGACATAGAGAGACCAAGATAGATAGATAGATAGATAGATAGATAGATAGATATGAATGAAAGAGACCAAGATAGACAGGATAGACCATGATAGAGAGACCATGATAGATAGATAGATAGATAGATATGAAGAGACCAAAAGAGACAGATAGACATAGAGAGACCAAGATAGATAGATAGATAGATAGATATATAGAGAGAGAGAGAGAGAGAGAGCGAGAGAGAGACCAAGATAGATAGATAGATAGATAGATAGATATAAAGAGACCAAGAGAGACAAGTGCTGTAATTTTGGATCTGTAGGTTGTGTTCTAACTCAGAATTTGGAATCGGCGTACCGAGTTCGAATTCCAGTCGGGTTCATTATATTCCCTTATGCACTCATATAATTGGGAAAGTTATGAATCCACCTCTTCTCCCCCAGCTATATGTTAATTAGTAGAGCTTGTATTTGTAGAACTTGTATTAGTAAAAAATCATTAATATCTTGAATAGTTTTTTTTTTTTTTATAATCTAACAATATTTTCTAGTTTTGAATTACTTGCAAAAATGTTTCGGCCTGTATTTGGCTCCCGAAGAGTTTGTCTTCTACACGCCTTCTAGACGTCTTCTTTTTCTTACCTTACACTTAATCTCATTTTATATACGTATATAGTCATTGCAAGTAACCTGCAGCACACAAAAATATAAAAAACATCATTAGAAACACGGAAAAGAGTGCTGGACTGTTATGTAATATGAATCCACCTATGTGGCAGTGAATTCTGGGCAGTCACCTTGTAGCTGAGGAGGGAACAGAAATGTGGTTTTACAGAATACCGTTGGCTGGCCATATAAAAACGATCAAATTCTGGAGAAAATGGGAATGAAAAAACAAACACTTATTCTTATAATCCGAAAGAGGAAGTTACGATTATTTTAAAGTACATAACGAGGAAAGATGGTTTGCAGAATTTGACACATACACGATATACGACATTGGAAAGTAGCGAGCTTGCGTAAATACTTGACAGGAAAGGGATTAGCAAAAGCTACAAAGAAACAGGGAATTGTGGGAAGCCATGATCGTTCATGTCCTAAAGGGGCAGGGTACAAAGAAAATGTCTTAACTTAATTACTTTTCATTACAACTACATTATAAGTGTATGGCCATTCGGAATATATTCAACCAATTTAAATTTTAACTCATATTTCTTGCATCTCAATTCCATCTGCTTTATACATGTTAATAGTATTAATATTATCAGTATAGTGTGTTTAGGTGGTAGATGTGTGTCTCAAGGGCTATTGTGATGCGTGTAGTGTGGTAGTCTGTAGTGGTAGTGCTTGTCGCTTTTCGCTTTCAGTTACCGCCGTTGGCTAGCAGCAATGCGAAAAGGGGAGCCGTGTGCGTAAGTCTTCCCCTGCCACTATATAGCCTCTCCATCAGCAAGCTCTATGTAGCGCCTCCTCGTGGCGACACATGGTAACCGAGCACCTTGCGGACTAGGGCTAAACTACAGGGGACGAGGGAGGAGTTTGGCCCCTTAAAATGCATCATGCTGGCCCACCGGTGTGTGGACACGCCCTGGTGCCCATGAACCTAACCCCAGCTATGGGTTAAATAGCTCCACTGCTTTGTGGAAATCTTTGGCAGAAAAGGCTAAGGAGTAACTCCTACAGAAATCCGGAGTGGAGCCCCTAAAGCGGATGGACGGCACTCTGCGTTACCTTCCGGCAACTCCTGCAGCCGCGCTGGTACCAAACTGTATTTGTTCATCCTTTCCTTTGGACTCTACTAGCAAGGCCGAGAGGGATAAATAGACGTCTGGATAGCCCTAGTTCTCCATACATCACGCCCAGGCTCGTGGCGCACCTCAGCGCTACTCCATCGTCTCCCGAGATGGACGGATGCCGTCGTCGGTGCTACAATCTTTACTGGAAACTTTTGAATAAAACGAAATGATTCCAGGGAGTAAAATAAATAATATATTTTTATTTATTTTCTGTAGAATAACTCCTTTGGTATTTGGTGTACGAAAATATTCGTTTATAAGGCGGATATTGGTCGCAGTCTGGAGAAAGTCCATTGCTATAGTTTTTGAAGTAAGACCGTGCGAGAGGTAGTAGTAATATTAGAAATAGTCAGTGACAATCTAATGTGTTTTTCTGGCCCTAAGCAGAGCAAAAATGTATTAGCAGGTGACCACTTAACTACTTCATGCGTGGCAGGTTACTCCGTGGTAGCATCTTTTGTCGTAATTCTCGCCGTCACTCCTGACTCTAGCTCAGAGGTGTCAGCTTATATCATTTTAACAAGGCTCCGATAATCACGCCCGAACATTGATTTCGGATAACATATTTTATTTTATCAGGTAACTTACGCGTGGAGCCTCCATGATTTTTGTTACTTTTCAGTCAGAAATGGGTATACTTGTGTCCGGCAAAATTCCGGCGTTTTCCGATCGGGTTCAATCATTTCTTCCTTTTCCTCTATTTATTTGAGAGTTGCCTTCTTATTAGTTGAGAGAATTATAGAAAGAGAAGTTTAGAGAGATATAGAGAGATATATATATATAGAGAGATACATAGAGAGAGATATATAGATATATATATAGAGAGATATAGAGATATATATATATAGAGAGAGAGACAGATATATATATATATATATATAGAGAGAGAGATATAGAGATATATATATATAGAGAGAGAGATATATAGATATACAGAGAGATATATATAGAGATATATATATAGAGATATATATATATATATAGAGAGATATATAGATATATAGAGATATAGATATAGAGAGATAGAGATATAGATATAGAGAGAGATAGAGATATAGAGAGAGATATAGAGAGATATAGAGAGAGATATAGAGATAGAGAGAGATATAGAGAGATAGAGAGATATAAGGGTTTTAAAAGAAATGTCTTATTTTAATTTAAATTCTTTTTATTTTTGTTTATATATCTTATTTTTATATTTCATTTTTATCGGGACTCACTACAATAATCTTATCTAATATTCATTTTAATGCTTCCAAAACAAAACCGTTATTTTTTAATCGTCTGAGAAAACGGCTGATGCTAACCTCCAAAAGAGTGACACTTTGCACCTTCTCGGGCTTAACGCTTTCCACTGGCATTAAGTGGAAATTGAATCAACTGCAATATCTGCTGCCAATTTTCCTGCCGCTAGGAACATTAGACAATTCCCCTTACAAGAATCTTACACATTTTTAAGTCTACCATTCGTCGATGAGTTAAATATTTCTGCTACATCTGGTCTGGGGCTTCCGCTATATTTAGTGACTAGCAGTAGAGACCGGCGTTGCCCGGGGATATAACAGTAAGAGATAGATCAAGTATCCACCATCATAAAGACTGAAAAATAAAACTGACAAAGATTATTGTTTAAGGTTGACGGACACGCATGTCTTAATTAGTATTTTTTTTTGTTTTTTTTGTTTTTACGAATTGGTCAAATTGTTCTTGAGTGTGGGTTTATTAATTATGATCTAACAAATCTTATTCATTTAGTAGCCTTTCTGTAATAATAATCTTTTACAATTTATGATTTTTACTTATTGAATACAGTAAAAAAATAGACACCATGTGTATTTAAAGTAGTTTCCGGTTATTATTTTTAGTTAGGAGGACTTGTGTATGTTTAGATTTCATTATCTTTCCCTAAAGATAAAGAATTATCCGATGTTTGGATTCGTACAATCAGTAGAGATCGTTAGATTATTGTTTAAGGTTGACGGACACGCATGTCTTAATTAGTTTTTTTTTTTTTTTCGTAAAAAAAAAAAAAAAAAAAAAATTCAAACCCAAACTCAAACAAAAACATTGTTTTCAATCGTCATGAGTCTTCCGATTGAATAGAATTTTATTATAAACAGTTGTTTTGTAAATGGAATTTTTAAAGCATTCTGAATATTAAAAATAAAGAAAAAAGTGTGCAAGACAATAAGAAACACTACCTGCCAACTACTTTTGTTTTATCGGCTGAAAAATGTAGGAAATCCGATCCCATATATAAAGGAATACACACTCACAAACAACCTGGGTTTTTAACCCGATGTGAGTTGTCCCCCTTTCATTCACACGATGTCTCTTAATCGTGTTTTCAAATTGATTTTGTGAAAAAATAATTGTATTTTCCCCATTTTTGGCGCTGTTAAAACCACCACAAGGTAATTTTATGTAGTCCTGTGAAGTTTTGTTGAAATCGGTTGAAAAATGTAGGAAATCCGATCCAATATTTAAACGTTACAGACACACACACACACACACACACACACACACACACACACACACACACACACACACACAATCTGCGTTTTATAATAAGTAAGATTCTTGATGAAATACAAAGAAGGGCCTGCAATATTATTTATCTTGTCTTTCTATCACGTCTTTATTCATTTTCCTACCCTCATAACCTAGCTTCACTGTACCTTTTTCTATAAATATTTTCATGCTAATTGTTCGGATGAAATTTTGTATGCAATACTAGATTGGCGGTTAGGTCTCATCATTTTGCAGTTAAAATGGCTAACTGTAACCGTAAGTTCTATGATAACAGTTTCTTCTCTCGCACTTATCTCTCGTGGAACTCTCTTCCGGCTTCTTGCTTTCCAGTCAACTTTGATCTCTGTCGTTTTAATTCCTGATCTTTTATTGTTCTCTCTCATTAATAGTGGTTTTTTTTTCTCATATTCTCTAACACTTGGTAATCCATAGCGTCTTAGTGGTTTTAGTGCTATGCTTGGGGTGAAATGATTAAAAAGAAATCTTAACCTTATGCTTTTTTTATTAGATGAATCATTGTCAATCATTATTAATTTTTGGGTCATATTTATTTCACCTTGATTTCATTAGCAACTAGGCTTTTTTATTATATGACGCATTATAGATAATTATTAAATTGTTTACAAGTATTTCTTTAATCTTTATTGCATTATCAACTATAGTTCTTATTAAATGAATCGTTGTTGAACATTATTAACGTGTGACTGGTATTTCTTTTATCTTACATTTAATTAACTTATTTATAATTGGTAATACATAGTCAAATGAAAACTACGTGTCTTATTGGCTAAAAACGATAGCCGCCATTCTGAATGGATACTTCGAATAATGGTTAAGGGCAAAACGGAATACGCCACTCTGATTGGACAAAACATCAATAGTTAGAAATTAAACAAATCCCAATTGGTCAGAATTTATGCATAGGATTGAATAAAATGATCGGCATTGAGTAGGCACAAATATTGTTTACAATCCTTGCAATCATGCGAAAGCTATGCCAGAATACTAGTCGAGAAATGATCGCTCTCGACTGAGCCCATGGGAGAGAAAGTCTGATGTCATGGAAGCCCGAAACTTTCTATGACGCAAGAATAGACATCAATAAAAAAACCATTCTGATTCACAATATTTGCGTATAAAATAAACATCAAACATTATTAATTTTTTACTCTATTCATTTTAATTTCCTTTGAATTATTTACAATAGTTTTATTAGTAATATTATCATGTTTTATGAGATGAAATATTCTTATTAATAGTAATACTATTTCGATTTTGATGAGATGATACATTGCTAATCATTATGAATGGCTGGCCGAACAGGAATTAAGAGAGAAAGCGAAAAAGAAAACAAGCTTTAATATATATATATATATATATATATATATATATATATATATATATAAACAGAAATCTCTGGAGAGCTATGATCACTAAAATCTTGAAGAACAATGGTACATAGAAGAAAATGACGTCAATTATTAGTCATCTCCTGCTAACTCTCTCTGAAAGGTCTCCACTGCCTAAACCGGGTATTGAACTCACACACTTTCGGTCCGATCACTAGACCCAACCAACGCCTTTATCCACTGAGTTCTTGAGTGTGGGTTCAATACGCGGTTAAGGCAGTGGAGAACTTTCAGATGGGGTGGCAGGAGATGATTGATAACTGAGATCCATTAAACATGGCACGTGGAACTAGAACAGTCTACCACAGTGAGCGAAATAAAGGGTTCAGTTCGGAATTCCAACCACTTGAAGAAGGCCGGAGCGTACAACGGCCGAAACGTTGTAATAAATATGGCAACAAAGATGAGGACAAATAGTCTGAATAATGTAAATAGTGTACATAATATTTCATCTCAGAAATATAGACAGATACTGAAAAGCCGAAACGTTGTAATAAATATGGCAACAAAGATGAGGACAATAGTCCGAATAATGTAAATAGTGTACATAATATCTCATCTCAGAAATATAGGCAGATACTGAAATGCCGAAACGTTGTAATAAATATGGCAACAAAGATGAGGACAATAGTACGAATAATGTAAACATTATTTTTTACATATAAACATTAGAGCCTGTTTTGTTTTGCAAAGATAAACCATCTCGTAAAGAAGCCCGGAGCAGATGCGAAACCTCTCCCTAATTATAAGTTTTTGAAGCAAAAAAATAAAAATAAAAAAAAAATAAAATCTAAGTAACGAAAGAGAAAGTAGTTTCGATTTCATTCGTGCTAGCATCTGGTTGGAAGATTTTTTTTCTTCTTTCTATTTTCATAACTTAATCTCTTTTCATTGGTCACCTTGTGTCCATCTCCCAGCTGTCAGGTCAACAGGTTCGTCTTTTGTAGTGTTTTGACAGAGTGAATTTATCTAAAGTTACGACTCGCGTTTGGTTAAGATTAATATGATGGGTATTTACATCAGCCATACTCCCTCGTCGTTTTTCTGCCGGGATCTCGGGCCAGGACATCGTCTAGATGTCTGAAATCACACTGGCAAGTAATCGAAGCCCAATATAATCTAATTGTCTTGCTCTTCTCGTTTTTCACTGCGTTTCTCGTTATTTACAAATATTTTTCACTCCCTAGCTTCTTTTCATGGATATCGGTTTACGAGACCTGTTGTCAATCAAAGCTGAAGAGATCAGCTTAAACTACGTTTTCCCCAGAGTTGAGGGCTTTGTGGAGAGACAGAATCATATGTTTTTTTTCCAAAGATATTTGTGTTAAGTGCATCCTAAGCTCTCTTGCTTAGCGCACATCTGTTTAATTTAGTAAGTAGGCATTGTTGACTTGAGACTTTCGGATATTTGGTTTGGTTTATTTTGTTTTACGGCATATCATAGGTTATTTAATGCCGACAAGATTTTTATTGCTGGTAATCTATCTATCTATCTATCTATCTATCTATCTATCTATCTATCTATCACAGTAAATATTGGTTTTGTTTGTTTTGTTTAACAGCATATCAACCTCAATGGGTTATTTAATGCCGACAAGATTTTTATTGCTGGTAATATTTTTTATCTATCTATCTATCTATCTATCTATCTATCTATCTATCTATCTATCTATCACAGTATTGCTGGTAATATTTTTTTCAAAAATGTATCGCTGCTAATGTATTTTTTCGCAAACACATACTGTTGGCAATATTTTTTCTCCAAAAATCTATGGCTGGTAATATTTTTCTTGAAAAATTACCACTAGTAATATTTTTTCTTCAAAAAGATATTAATGTTAATATTTTTTCCTTCAGAAATGTATTGCTGGCAATAATTTTTAACGTATTGGTGGAAATTTTTTTTTTTCCAAATATATATTAATGGTAATATTTTTTCACAAACGTATTGCTGGTAATAAGTTTTTGCTTCAAAAATTCATTGCTAGCAATAATTTTTAACAAAAATTATTGCTGGTATTAAAAGCTATTTTTAAACTTTCATAGTGTTTTGATCCCTTTTTGTTGGAGGGTAAACTATTTGCCTATACCTGGGACACTAACATTAACACTACCACCGCGGGTCAGAATGGACCTGGGAGCACCAGAAATTAAGAGCTTTTTCCACGCTCCTCAAAACCTCCAGATCTGAGACCTTGCTGTTGAATGTAGTTTATCTTACCCAGGACGCGGATGTAGTTTATCGTCTTACCCAGGACACGGATGTAGTTTATCGTCTTACCCAGGACGCGGATGTAGTTTATCGTCTTACCCAGGACACGGATGTAGTTTATCGTCTTATCCAGGACGGTTGGTTATTTGGAAAAAATGATTTGCATCAGAAATGAAACATGCATTTACCTAAATGCTTTATTTGCTTTTTTAAAATTTAAATAGTTCTATAAAGAGAAATAAGTTACCTTTCTTTTGAGCTATCAAATTATTTGTTTTCTTATATGGGCTGTATACGGTTTTTCTTTGTCATAGCAGCAAATATTGAGACGATTTCATTTTATGGACAGCTGTTTGTCTCAGGTCCGCCAATACATAAGAAAAGTTGGGACCCTCAGACAGTAATTATGGTCAAAAGTTTAAAAGAAAGTAGTAGATCTCTTACTAATACTAACCTGGTATGAAACTGCAAATATGTGGTTCCCAATAAAGTTTGATTTAGTTTGAATTCGTTTGTTTTACGGCATGTCAACCTCACTAGGTTATTTAATCTGTCTTGGTCTCTTCATGTTTATCTGTCTCTCTTGGTCTCTTCATATCTATCTATCTATCTATCTATCTATCTATCTATCTAAGTATATATTGGTTTGTTTTGTTTTGTTTTACGCCATGGGTTATTTAATGCCGACAAGATTTTTATTTCTGGTAATATTTTTATCTATCTATCTATCTATCTATCTATCTATCTATCTATCTATCTATCTAAGTATATATTGGTTTGTTTTGTTTTGTTTTACGCCATGGGTTATTTAATGCCGACAAGATTTTTATTTCTCGTAATATTTTTTATCTATCTATCTATCTCAGTATATATTGGTTTGGTTTGGTATTATTATCAATTCACTAGAAAACCTCGCTATAATATTGTAGTAAGTGCTCCAAAATTATCAATTCATTAGAAGACCTCGCTATAATATTGTAGTAAGTGCTCCAAAATTATCAATTCATTAGAAGACCTCGCTATAATATTATAGTATGTGCTCAACGCTAGAAAATACCAAACATCTGAATTGAATTGAATTCTTAACATTTCAGCTAAGCGGAGTTGATATGTGGAGAGCGCAGTATGTAATGGGTTCCACCGTAAGAGATACGAAAGTTAGTTTTTCACTCATTGTCACATAAGAACATCTGAAAAACTAGGTAACTCAGAGGGTTAATCTAGAGGGTACCCTTATAGCTACCCGATGTTGAATCGAGCCTCAAACGATGTCAGTGTCAGCGGCGTCATGTAAGCAGGAAATTAACCCATCATGACCTAGGATATACATATCATCCTAAATGGGTTATTCAATGCCGACAAAATTTTTATTGCTGATAATATTCTTTTTTTCAAAAATCTATTGCTCGTAATATTTTTAAAAAAATGTATTTCTGGTAATAATTAAAAAAAAATGTATTGCTGGTAATAATTTTAAAAAATGTATTGCTTGTACTAAAACCTATTTTTACACTTTCATAGCGTTTTGATCCCGGTTTAGGTGTTAACTATTTGCCTATACCTGGGACCCTAACAGGTGCTACCACCCCACATGACGGTGAACCTGGGAACACCAGCAATTAAAAGGTGGTTCCACGCTCCTCAAAGCCTCCCGTCCATAGGCCTTGTTGTTGGATGTAGTTTATCGTATTACCCAGCATGGTCGCAGTTAGTACTGAATTAAAAAGATGGTGTTAATGGTCTACCAAACCAGCTCACTTACCATTGTTCACAGCAGAGTATCCCAAATTTACGTACCTCGGTAAGGTTCGATTTGATAAATAACAGGAGAACAAATTGACTCGCACTCCTGGCTATAATATTGTAGTATGTGCTCCAAAATTATCCATTGACTAGAATACCTCGCTATAATATTGTAGTATGTGCTCCAAAATTATCAATTGACTAGAAGACCTCGCTATAATTTTGTAGTATGTGCTCCAAAATTATCAATTGACTAGAAGACCTCGCTATACTATTGTAGTATGTGCTCCAAAATTATCAATTGACTAGAAGACCTCGCTATAATATTGTAGTATGTGTTCAACGCTAGAAAGTACCAAACGTCTGAAATGAATTGAATTCTTAACATTTCAGCTAAGCGGGGTTGATATGTGGAGAGTGCAGTATGTAATGGGTTCACCGTAAGAGATACGAAAGTAAGCTTTGCACTCAATGTCACACAAGAACATCTGAAGAGCTAGGTAACTCAGAGGGTTAACCCAGAGGGTACCCTTATAGCTACCCGATGTTGAATCGAGACTCAAACGATGTCAGTGCCATCAATGTCATGTAAGCAGGAAATTAACCCATCAGGACATAGGATATATATATATATATATATACAAACGAGAATAGGATGACGGGAAGTTATATAAACGCCCAAATTTTGAACTTCGGCGTGGTATAAGGGTTAACAAGCTTGTTGCGATCGATGAGCTACGGCTTAGTAGTGAGTTCGATCCTCACTGGAGGCTCCATACGTTCTGTCTTGTGCCACATCTACGCTACGCTAAGTAAATCGATATAAAAGCCTAATTCGTGACTATGAAATTAAACTCTCTCGCATTCTCGCGATGGGAAGAGTTGTACGTTCTTTGAAAGTCACCTAAGAGCCATGTGTAATGAAATCTCCAAGTCGTGATAAAACTTAAGATAGTTTTATTGAGCTTAAATGTGGAGGAACGTGTAGACCATTTATTTATTTGGTTTGGTTTATTTGGTTTTATGGCATATCAACCGCAATAGGTTATTTAATGCCGACAATTTTTATCTCCTGGTAATATTTTGTTTTGTCAAAAATCTATTTCTGGTAATATTTTTTTCCTGGAAAATGTATAGCTGGTAATATTTTTGTTTTTAAATATATTGCTGGTAATATTTTTTTTTCAAAAATATATTGCTAGTAATAATTTTTTACAAAGTATTTCTGGTATTAAAAACCTATTATACTTTTATGATGCTTTTTACATCAGTTTCGGGGTTAACTATTTGCCCATAGCTGGGACCCTAACAGGTGTTACCACCTTAGGTAAGGCTGGACCTGGGAACACCAGCAATTAAGAGGTGGTTCCACGCTCCTCAAAACCTCTTGATCAGAGGCCTTGCTGTTGGATGTAGTTCATTGTCTTACCCTGGACAAGCATGTAGTTTATCGTCATACCCAGGCCCAGCTTAATTATAGCTTATTTATAGTTTCTAAATAGGGAGAGTTCTTTCAAGGGAGACAATTGTCATCAAAAGAGGTTAACTCCTGTTGGTCTATACCACACCACAAAATCCTCACGGTCGATGTGACAAAGTCCAGATGTAAATAAAAAATAATTTAGCGTATGGAAGGTTCAATTCGTTCTCGTAATTGTATTAGATGTTATTAGGATAGAGCAACACCGCAATCTATGTTAAGGAATTTTCAATATGAGCTTCGGAGAAAAAAAATATATGCCAGTCAAAATTAAGCAAGAGAAAAAAGATTTTGTGAAAAGATTTCTTTTCTAGACTTTTTTCAGAGATTTCTTTGTTACGTTTTGTTTTCTGAAAACCAATCATTTTCAGGTCAAGAGAGAACAAATAAACAATTGTGAATATCTGATTAAGAGCAGAAATCGACCAAAATGGTTTCACAAGGTTGTTCGTTCTTTGACCGACTAGGCTGATAGATATCATTTACAACAGTTTAAGTCGAAAAATTACAATGAGGAAACCTCACAACCTAATACATATGTAATCAAAACTACATTCTCTGTCGTTATTTTTCCATTCAATAAACTATAATTAAAGGCAAGCCTAGCATTTGCCCTCGGCTTCTTTATGAGACGTTTTATCTTTTTCTTACAAAGAAGGTTCTACTTTTATATATATATATATATATATATATATATATATATATATATATATATATATATATATATATATATATATAAAAGGAGTGGTTAATAAAAATAAAATATTGTAAAAACAAAAAAGGAAGTATATTTCATTCAAATGAAATGTTGGGTCGATATTTAAGAAAATAGAGTTTCCGTTACTTTGTTGACTTCTATTTTATTTCCCCCATTTTAAATATTATCCAGAGCATTTTATATCAATTCGGAATGTTTAGACGAAAAGAGGACAAGCATACTAATTTAAACTGAGGGAAAAAATATACAAAAAAATAATCTCGAATATAAAATTAAAGTTAGTGTAAACTGTAAGAAAACAATGTATGGTTGTCAGCTAGGGACAATTAACGGAACGATTGCATAGGCACACGGATACTTTTCAAAGCGACAGTTATCAATATGGCTACAGGGATAGACGGAAATACAGTGCACGCATGCGTATGTCTGTATGACTGTTATTGGCTATATTATTGTAGCCGCTAATGTCATTGTTGCTTTTTTTGTTTTTCTTTTTTAATGCCATATCCCTTGTAGGGATAAACAGTCATGTCTCTACAGAATTTGTTTCTTTAGTATCTGTGAATTTCCATGACTTCTTGGGAATAATAGTGGTGTAGTTACTTGCGGACAGTTTAGGATTTAGATTGATTCGTTTTTTACGACTTATCAACCCTTTATTTAAAACCAGAAATTATTTTTAGATTGTAAGAATTTTGTTGGTGATAATAATGATTTAGTGACATTAGTGTTACTAATTAATCCATAACTGGGAGAGAAGAGTTGCATTTGGTTTGGTTTGTTTTCCGGAATATCAAAACTTAAATGGGTTATTTAGGATGGTAATATTTTTTGCCAAAATGTATTTCTGGTAATACCATTTTCCTCAAAAATGCAGTGCTGATAATAGTTTTTTCCTTCAAAAATATATTGCTGGTAACATTTTTCCTTCAAAAATGTATTGCTGGTAATACATTTTTCCCTTCAAAAATGTATTACTGGTAATATTTTCCTCAAAAATGTATTGCTGGTAATATTTATTTTCTTCAAAAATGTATTGCTGGTAATAAGTTTTCCTTCCAAAAATTATTGTTGGTATTAAAACCTATTTTTAGACTTTCATAGTGTTTTGAATCCAGTTTAAGGGTTAACTATTTGCCGATAGCTAGGACCCTAACAGGTGCTACCACCTCGGGTCAGGATGAACCTGAGAACAACGACAATTGAGGCGGTCCCACGCTCCTCGAAACCTCCTGATCAGAGGCCTTGCTGTTGGACGTAGTTTATCGTTTTACCAAGGATGCGTTCGCGATTTTTTGTATCCGTTTACATGCATTCAAATTATATATTTAAACGCAATTATTCATACGTATGGCGTCAGTAAAATGTATATTTATATTTTGCATTTAAACAATTGAAATTGATATCGGTATCTGTATAGGCAGGTAACTGAAATAGCAGTGGGTTTAAAACACACACACACATGCATATACACACACACACATATATATATATATATATATATATATATATATATATATATATATATATATATATTACAATGAATCATTCATACAAAAAGTAGATTACTAAAGTTAATGATATAAAATGGCGAAAACTCTTCGCAAACAAAATTTTAAAGTTGCATTAACCTACGAACCCATCGATGAATGTAATGATCCTTGTTTTTATAACTACAGGTTGTATAAGGACTTTTTTTTAAAAATCTGCAAGTACTTTCAACTGTACATTCAGTCATCTTCAGGCATGGAAATTATTTTGTTTTTAGTAAAATCCAGGTAGCGTCGAAGACGAAACATTAAATGCGAATCGAAATATGTTTTTTTTTAGAAATGTGTTATTTTTAACGGATAAAAACTTTTGGAGCATGCAGTCGAGATTTTTTTTGTTGTAGGAGTTTATCAGTCAATGTGGCATGAACTAAATTGTTCAATAAATAGAGTAATGTCTTAGTTGTTATCCCGAATATTTGCACGTTGGATCAGTTTTTTTAAATCATTATGTGGTGCAGTTCAATTTATATTAAAATGAATCATTCATAGAAAAAATATTTCGATTCGCATTAAACTTTTTGTGTAAATGATTCATTGTGATATAAATTGAACTGCACCACATATTTGGTATATATATATATATATATATATATATATATATATATATATATATATATATATATAGGTAATCTATATGATTATATAGACATTGAAATACGTATGCGCATATAAACCTTTATATACATTTATAAACGATATAGACGCTGTTTTTTAACTGGGTTTCTGGGATGAGGATTTATCATTACACTAAATGCAAACAATTGACCTCATTCTTGTTTTTTTATCACAGCAATATGGGAACCGCAAATAAAGAAAACCAGTCAGTTATGTACCATACATGATACACGCTCAGGCGATCATGTATCTTTCGATGCATAACTGACGAGGCAGATTTTTTTCACCGCAGTAGGTTGCCATTTCTTTCTGCGGTAGACCAGTTGCCATTCAAGGCTATTGAACCCAGTCTGTCCTGTTACCTACCCATAGCTTGAGTCGGGTGTAGAAGAAGAGGAATCATAAATGGCATATCTTCAACGAAGCAGCAGTAATAAAAAAGATGGACATCAGCAGTTAGAATATGACAGCCAGCAGCAGCAGCCTAACAGAAGTAAAGTTAACTCCAGCAAAACAGTTTATATGACCATACGTATTTCTTATGTTTTGTACGAGATAAACGATATATATTTTTATATATCAAGAACAGTATTGTAGAAATTTTATAACAAAGTGTGATAATTTATTAGCAACAGCTTAAAACTCGGTATTCACTGGAAAACAACCAGCAAAACCTAATCTATACTTAATCTATACAATCTTTAAATTTAATCTAAATTTTAATCTATATAATCTTTAAATTTAATCTAAATTTTAATCTATATAATCTTTAAATTTAATCTATAATTAATCTATATAATCTTTAAATTTAACCTAAATTTTAATCTATATAATCTTTAAATTTAATCTAAATTTTAATCTATACAATCTTTAAATTTAATCTAAATTTTAATCTATATAATCTTTTAAATTTAATCTATAATTAATCTATATAATCTTTAAATTTAATCTAAATTTTAATCTATATAATCTTTTAAATTTAATCTAAATTTTTAATCTATATAATCTTTAAATTTAATCTAAATTTTAATCTATATAATCTTTAAATTTAATCTAAATTTTTAATCTATATAATCTTTAAATTTAAACTAAATTTTAATCTATATAATCTTTAAATTTAATCTAAATTTTAATCTATATAATCTTTAAATTTAATCTAAATAATTAATCTATATAATCTTTAAATTTAATCTAAATTTTAATCTATAATTTTACCTTTTAAGTATCTATATAATTTCTTTCCCCTTATATTGAATAAGATTGGTGGGGAGGGGCTTTTGGTTATCTATTTATTTAAATTCTTTTATTAAAATATTAATATTCTGATTTATCTTGTTTACATACTAATAATGTTTTAATTAGCTTTTATTATTATAATATTAAAATTAAATAATAGTATTAATATTAAATTCTATTTTTTTTAGTCTACAACCTTAAAATCTTTCTTAAATTTAAAGACTGCAATTCTTTATGTAATTTTTCCTATTTGAACAAGAGTTATTTTAAATATAGCTCAATATTAATTTTCAGCCGTTTTTAACTTGTCTAGACTTGTATGTCTATCAAGTCATCCCGTTTCCTCCCCGTTTCTTGTATCCCCCTCTCTACTTCGGTCTTTCCTTCCCCCTTTATCTTCTTTCTATATCCCTTCTAAATGCCCTTTCCCTTATCTGTAGATTTTTCCTCTTTCTTCCTATCTCTTTTAATTTTTATAAAAGAACCTTACGATTCATTTTTTGATCAAACGATTTGGTATTGACATGCTCCAGAGAATTTCTCGAGGAGCGAAATGGCGATATAAATGTGGTACAATTAAATATCATTTATACGTAATTTATATATATATATATATATATATATATATATATATATATATATATATAAAAGCTCAAATTAAAAAATAATAATGTTTTATTTTATGAAAGTATTTATTTATTTATATATATATTTGATATTTCAAATTGTCCTCAATTTTTCATCAGAAATAACTGTTTGTTACAAATAAATTAAAATTACTGTTTGTTAGCAAGTAGCGTCCTATTCAGTTTTGACGGGTATTATCAAGTTTATGTAATTTAACAGATATATGATACTACCCGTCAAAAGTGTGAATTTTCATTTCATCTTTCGTTTCATTTTTGGAAGTGTTATCTGATGATCCAGCGTCCCTTAAAAGGGCTCTGATGAAATAAATTATTATAATGGAACCTTAAAGTGGTCTGTTTTTTATTAAATTATTAGCTCTGGATTTACATTGAGCTCGCAGGATGTCATCCTCCTTGGGATTACCCATACGGATTACCAAGTTTTTCATAACTTTATATATATATATATATATATATATATATATATATATATATATATATATATATATATATATATATATATATATATATATATATATATATGTACCCAAGTATATAATTGGTGTATATGGAATAAATTTCAATGACCCCAAAATACTATTCTTAAAAGAGTGCTCAAAATAGAGGAGAGCAAAGATATTTATTTATTCGAAAATTATAACATAAATATGTTATAAAAGCACTACAAAAATAGCTATATTGTTTAGTGTGTTTTAATTTTGGTAATTTCATTTAATTTATTAAGAGAATAGATACTAAACTTAAAAAAATATTATTAAGCGCATTTTCTTCGTTTCTTTGCGTTAAGACTCGGTTTTAACTTAACATACACGTTTCAGGTGACACCGATGTAATGATAAAAAAAATGTAATTGTCATCTCTGATAATTGCTTATGTAAGCTGAAAGCTTAGATTGGATTTAAACATGTATCAATATGGTGATTTTCTTTCGTCTTTCAATATATATATATATATATATATATATATATATATATATATTACAATAAACGTGCAATCAATTTAAAAATACATGAATTATTCACACAAAACTAATGCAAAGGTTAATGATTTAAATGGCGAGACATCCATCATCGCAAACAATTCAAATAGTACACAAAAACCTCCAGATCCGTTATGAATGAATTGATCCTTATTTATATAAATTTCTGCCGTATTAGTTGTTATTTTTACTACAAGCTTTCGTCTGTTCCTACAGACATCTTCAGGTATATAATAGATGTTGTTCTTGTTTTTTCTCTTAGTAATAAGAGGACATCGAAAATATATGTGTTATTGTATCCGAAATGCTATTGAAAATGAGTTATTGGTTTTTGAACGCGCCAAAGCAACGCTGAGTTTGATTTAAATTTTTTTAAATGTTTCCGTTTATACCAAATATGGTGTTGAACAAATTTTTACTGGTAAATTTTACTGTCAAAGTGGCATGAACTATATTGTTCAATAATTACAGTAATGTCGCACTTATTAACTAAAAGTCGCACATGGATCAGTTATTTAAATTACAATAAACGTGCAATCAATTTAAAAATACATGAATTATTCACACAAAACTAATGCAAAGGTTAATGATTTAAATGGCGAGACATCCATCATCGCAAACAATTCAAATAGTACACAAAAACCTCCAGACCCGTTATGAATGAATTGATCCTTGTTTATATAAATTTCTGCCGTATTAGTTGTTATTTTTACTACAAGCTTTCGTCTGTTCCTACAGACATCTTCAGGTATATAATAGATGTTGTTCTTGTTTTTTCTCTTAGTAATAAGAGGACATCGAAAATATATGTGTTATTGTATCCGAAATGCTATTGAAAATGAGTTATTGGTTTTTGAACGCGCCAAAGCAACGCTGAGTTTGATTTTAAATTTTTTAAAATGTTTTGCGTTTATTTTTTGTGTGAATAATTCATATATATATATATATATATATATATATATATATATATATATATATATATATATATATATAATACCTTTAAATTTCTTGGGGAAACATAGGGGCTGCAAGATACCGTGAGGTTTGTATAAAAAGGCTGGCTTTAAGTGAGTAGGTTGTTACTAGAAAATCTGCTTCTAAATTCAGAGTTGCCCCCCTCATAGACCAATTGATATAGAAGCCAATCTGTCCTGACCAGAATGATAAAAAATCACAATTTATTTTGTCTTTATTTGCGATTCCACAAATAAACTTTCCTCGAGTTATTTTTTTACAGTTCCAAAATCAACCTAACCTAATATATATATATATATATATATATATATATATGGTGGACTCCTCTCCTATCATGAACGATAAATGAGGGTCAGCATTGGATGGTGCCTTTCGTTTTGCACTTATGCATGACTAAGGAGGTAAATCTGAGACTCATGAATCTCTCAGCCTCTCCTTAAAAGAATTTGAACGAGGCCATTTGACCAATACAAGGACTAACCAAAAATGAAAGATAAAAAAATAAATGAAAACTATAGGCAAAGTTCACTTTCTTCAGAGACATTCATTCACCCCTGTAGTTCACTGCTACTAACAAGCAAGAATTTTTTTCTCCTTATGATGGCCATGCTGACCGAAACTAGTTAAGGAAACTAATTTAATATTAGTATACAACCCAGTATTCCAGACACGCACACGCACACGCACACACACACAGACACAGACACACACATATATATATATATATATAAACATATATTGTTAAATATAACAGACATTGAATGTCTTTTATGTTTGATCATGAGCCGTTCTAAATTTCGTATGGTCGATTTAATTTAGGGTGAAAATAAAGATAAAAATTGTCCAGCATTTGGATATTTTTTTTATTTATATATATATATATATTAAGAATTGGACAAAGTCCGACAATTTATTAAAGACATTTACGCTGCCGTGCCTTAACCGATGTATAGGATGCTGGTTCGAATCCTGTCAAAGGACGAATATTTTCTATGAAAATTTCTCGGACATTCAGGCCGGTAAATGTTATTTAATACTGTTTATTATAAACAGAGCATTTACTTAAATACTTGTATCTATAAAAAGAATGTTAAACATAAAAATGTCTTTTATATATATATATGCTATTGCGCGACCTCACGACTGTTATCGTTGCATATATATATATAAATATATAAAGTGTTGTGTATGTAGACATGCCTGTTTTTTCTCCAGGATAGGAATTAACGTCTACTAGTGCAGTACATAGAAATTCTGATCAAAATTATGAGAAAAAAACACCTCTCAGCAGATTTCGAACCTGGATTCCCTTCTTTCTTGAGAAGACATCTCTTAGGCAAGCGTGTTTTTACCATAGCGGCCACATACTGATCAGGTGCGTAGAGGCACTCCCAACACCCCCCCCCAATCGTGGAATGAATGATGATAATAACGGCGAAGAGATAAGCTGAAATCTATATGTTATATTTATCAAATAAATACACAGGGAAAGTTTTCCCAGCATCAGTTTCTTAAAAGCAATTTTAGAAGACACGAGCGCCTATCATGTGAGTGGGTTTTTTTGAATTGAAAAGATTTTAAATTTTATTTTAAATTTCAGGATTTTTAGATGATTCAGTGAAATGTTGCGTGAGTTTTATCTCAATTGAGAAAACAAGATGGGGAAAATTAGCAATAAATAAAAAAAAGTGGTAAAGTGATAGTGAAGATTATAGAGAAGAAAGAAAAAAAAACATTTATAGGATTATATAGGTGAGAAAAAGTAAAGAAAAAGAAAGGTGGTAAGAACGAGCATTTAAAGAAGAGGAAGAAGAAGACGTAGATGAGAAAAAAGAAAAGATGGAGAGAGCGTGTAATTAAACAACAACAACAACAACAACAACAGCAATAATAATAATAATAATAATAAGGAAAAGTGGGGGAATATTTAAAGATCAAATTAAACACGGGAAAGAAGATCAAGAATTAAAACTTAGAAATGCGGGTAAAGAAAGAAGATATCGAGTAAAAAACAAAACAAAACGGAAAAAGATGGTCGAGCAGGTATACTGATGAGCGATGCTGTTATTAATCTCAATATATATATATACCAGGTGTTATCCGAATGTTCGAGAATGATGGCTATGGAAAAATGCCCAGTATCTTTTTTTTTTAGAAATATAATGCATTGTTCGCTCTATTCAAAGTATCTCGTTAAAGATGGCGCTAAGAATGTGTAGTGGAAAATAATACGTACTGTATTTTGTTCGTTAACACTTTTGTATAGCAGCTTGTATCCTATTAACTTGTTACATATTTATTGCATATGTTTAATGAATCTCTCTCATTATATCTCTGTTATATATATATATATATATATATATATATATATATATATATATATACACACACACATCATACTCACTCCCTAATGAGCTAAATGATAGCACGCACCCATAATAATATACACACTTACACACATCATACTCACTCCCTAAGCACCAAATAACACAGACACAATTAAGAGAGACACAGCCCCTTTACAGGAATCAATAAAAATTGTCAATATGAGCAGAATGAATCCATCCAGTACTAATCTCAAATAAAAACTTAAAAGAGACTGTTTGATCAACACAAGGACTGACAAAAAAAAAGACAAAAAAACAAAACATAACAAAAACAAAAAAACAAATGAAAACTACAGATAAAGTTTATTTTCTCATTATTCATTTCTGTAGTTCACTGCTACTAACAAGTAGGAATTTTTTTCTTCTGATGATGGCCTCGTCCTGGCCGGAACTAGTCGAGGAATCAAATTGAAATAATAAAAACGAATGAATATTAATATACAACCGAATGTCTGACGATTTTAATTTTTTAATATTTTTATTGTTCAAAACACACACACACACACACACACACACACACACACACACACACACACACACACACACACATATATATATATATATATATATATATCAGGCATTTTACATCGGGTCCCGCAAGCCTTCCCTGTGTAAATTTCAGTCGAATCCATTACATTCATTTACGTGCTAATACTCTTGGGTAAAATGTTAATCCTCTTCCCCCATCTATGGGTAAATAGCAGAACAGACTGGGTTCTATAGCCTTGGATGGCAACTAGTCTAGGAGGATCGTTTGGGAGCCTTGTGGCGCGTAGTCGCTTCCGAATTGAGCTGCTTGACCCTCTTACGTCCAATACGACGGGAGAGTCCACCATCTCTCTCTCTCTCTCTCTCTCTATATATATATATATATATATATATATATATGCGCGTGTGTGTGTATCTGCGCATGCTTGAGCATTACTATGTTTGCTTGTGCATAACTTGGTGTGCATGAACAGAAATGATCAAAAGAAATTTACGACCAAATAGTCATAACGGAAGGAGCCATATTTCTGTCCATTAAACGGAAACAAGTTGAATCAACTGTATATTATCTTCCCAGATTGAAGAAACCTCGGAGATTCTGCGAGTTTGGGAACTCAAGATTTGACTACGGAAAACGAATTGATTCAATTACAATTGATTGAAGATATGGCTGATATATCTAATAAATATGTGATATTGAAACAATTACAATAAAATAATTTGTCTTTAACCGCATGTGTGGAAGTTAAACAGCATATGGGGAATTTTAGAATATAGTTCTACTGAGGACAATGTTGAAACGCACAGTGTAAAAAATGTAACGCATGTGTCTATATATATATATATATATATATATATATATATATATATATTTATATTTAGGCAATTTTTTTCATTAATGCATGTTTCATTAAATAATACAGACGAGTTTTGTCTATTTATTTTTAGTAAGTTCCTTTCATATTGTCTGATAAGTTTCATAACATTATCATTGAAAGACGAATGGAAATCACCATATTGATACATGTTTAAATCGAATCTAAGCTTTTGGCTTACATAAGCAATTATCAAAGATGACAATTACGTTTCAATATATCAACCAATACACGGAACAATAATGATAGTCTGTTTTTGTTGCATGAAAAATTTCAAAGTAACGACTAACTCGTGTATACGAGACGCGGGAGTCGTTGCTTTGAAATTTTCATTGGATTTTTATATTCGATTTAAACATGTATCAATATGGTGATTTCCTTTCGTCTTTCAATTAAGCTTATGAGACAATATGAAAGGAACTTACTCAAAATAAATAGATTAATCTTGTCTATCTTGTTTAATGAAACATGCATCAATATACATATATATATATATATACATGTATATATATACACGCATAATGCCTTTAAATTTCTTGGGAATGTAGGGCTGCAAGATAGCGTGAGGTTTCTATAAAACGACTGTCTTTAAGTGAGTAGGTCGTTACTAGGGCATCCGCGTCTAAATTTAAAGTTGTCCTTCTCATAGACCAATTGATATAGAAGCCAATCTGTCCTTCTATTTACCGACAGCCGGGAGGGGGAAGAGATAGAAAGAAGAAGGCTGGAATTCGAACTCGCTTCACCGATTCTTCAATCCGAGCCGCTATCCATTACTCCACTGTGCCTCCTGAAATACTGTAAGTATGATGATGAAATTGACTGAAAGAAAAGTGTCCCGCTTTTCGAAAAAAAATGCCATAACCGCGGAAGAAAAAACCTTTTTCTCTCTGTATGCAAAGTTAAAAAGAAAATAGACAGTATAGCAAAATTGAAAAAAAAAAAAAATATGATGTCTTTTCAATACAAAGATCTAAGGAAAAGAATTCTTTTTGAAAAGATTAAATTAAATGCCATGACTTTTCCAATGCAAGTGGATACGGGGAGTGAGGTCATTCTGATCTCCAGAAATTTCTGGGAACAAATTGGTAAACCGAAATGGAGAAAAAGGCATCTGAAATTGAGAGAATTCTATGAATCTTTTATAAGAACTTTTGGCTAATTCGATGGAATCTGTTTCTAATTTGAAACTATTCCGATTACAGTAGGGGAACGTTAAAAAAAGCCCTGGACTACTAGGAATAGATGTTCTAAAGGTGGATACATCAAAACTAATCAATACTTGAAAACCAGAAGAAGTAAGAAGGAGAATATCACAGGGGTATACAACGTGTATACAATTAAAAGAAAATAGTACCCTCTATCTATTTTGAATCTTCTAAGGTACCTATATTCACCTTTGACTTTAAGTTGTTGTCAAGTTAAAGAAAATAGTAAAGTAGGGAATTTCGGTGTATGTCCCTCGAGGTGGCAGTAAATGGACCGATCTCATTGTAATGTTGCGAAAATCGGATGAAGACTTGAGAATATGTCATGATTTTCAAATAGGTGTAAATCATAATATGCCTGGATTCGTTTCCTATTGCCAATATCAAAACCGTTATCAATAATTTATCGAGCATTAAATATTTTGTAAAAAATGACTCAAAATCTGCCTATAATCAAATGCAGGTTGATGGTAAATTCAAAGAAATTATCACATTAAACACCCCCATAGGATTATTAAGATGGACTTGAATGCCTTTTGGAGTGAAAACGGAAGTGTCATTTTTCAGAGAGCAAAGAAAATCGTGTTAAGTGATGAAATTATTAACATGATTGTTTATCAAGATGATATTTGCATCGGTGGTAACACTAAAGATGAATAAAATAAAATAAAAACACAACATGTGTTAAAGCTGAAAAGATCTTAAAAAGAAATAAAGCATAAATTAACGATGGAAAACAGTGTTATACTTGTTTGCAGATAGATAGATAGATAGATAGATAGATAGAAAAATATTACCAGTTATAAAAATCTTGTCGGCATTAAATAACCCATTAAGGTTGATATGCTGTAAAACAAACGAAACCAAACCAATATAAACTTAGATAGATAGATAGAGAGAGAGAGAGAGAGTGTGTGTGTGTGTGTGTGTGTGTGTGTGTGTGTGTGAGAGAGAGAGAGAGAGAGATATGAAGGGACCAAGAGTGACAGATAGACATGAAGAGACCAAGATAGATAGATAAAAAATATTACCAGCAATAAAAATCTTGTCGGCATTAAATAAACCATTGAGGTTGATATGCCGTGAAACAAACCAAACCAAACCAATATATACTGAGATAGATAGATAGATAGATAGATAGATAGATAGATAGATATGAAGAGACAAAGAGAGACAGATAGACATGAAGAGACCAAGATAGATAGATAGATAGATAAAAAAATATTAACTTCAATAAAAAACTTGTCGGCATTAAATAACCCATTGAGGTTGATATGCAGTAAAACGAACGAAACCAAACCAATATATACTGAGATAGATAGATAGATAGATAGAGAGAGAGACAGACAGACAGACAGACATATGAACAGACCAAGAAAGACAGTAGGCATGAAGAGACCAAGATAGATAGATAGATAGATAGATAGATAGATAAATAAAAAATATTACCAGCAATAAAAATCTTGTCGGCATTAAATAACCCATTGAGGTTGATATGCTGTGAAACGAACGAAACCAAACCAATATATACTGAGATAGATAGATAGATAGATAGATAGATAGATATGAAGAGACCAAGTGAGATAGATAGACATGAAGAGACCAACTTTATAAGGATCCAATACTAAGCAAGATTGGGGAAAGAATAAGAAAAAATATGTGGAGTAATTGTTTCAAATCTGAAAGGCCTTAAAAAGAAATAAAGCATAAATTAATGATGGAAAATGGCGTTATATGCAATGAAGATATGATCGTGCCACCTAAAAGGAATCTGCCAAAAGTTACTTTTTCTAGAATTCTAAGGTGGACAATAAAAAAAAGCATTGGCCATTGTCTGAAGCGTAGACAGAACTCAACAATTTTTATTAAGTTCCTATTAAAGTCCGACCATAAACCTCTCTAGTTTATTTTTAACCCTAGAAATTTTATAAAATTAATGGCATATGATTTTGACTTTGAGTATGTAAAAGGAAATGCAATAATACCAGACATTGCTGCAATGTCAAGGTTACAATTTAATAAGAATCAAAAATGGAAATCCCAGATGAAGAAATATTATATTGGACTGGAACTAACATATCTAAAGAAAAGATTGGTATCAGAAACTCTACATGATCTGATATTAAGCAAGATTGCTGAGAGAATAAGAAGAAATAGGTGGAGTAACTGTTCCAAAGCTGAAAGACCTTAAAAAGAAATACAGCATAAATTAATGATGGAAAATGGCGTTATATCCAATGGAGATGTGATAGTGCCAACAGAAACAGTAAGAAAAGATATTTTAAAAAGTGTACATGTTTATGTGCGTTGTGGAGATTAAAACTGGAGGCATAGTGACCGGTGTATTATCGCGGCATCAAAAGGTATGTACAAAAATGTCCAATATGTACAGAAATAAAGAACTTTCTATAAAGGAGAACAAACTCATGGCCTAAAGAAAAAGAAGCACAGTCTCGTATTCATATGGACCATGCACACATTAATGACCTGTGACTCTTTCTAATTTTAATAGACTCCTTGTCTGGATGGCCTGAAGTCGTTAATGTTAAAGATAGAAAAGCGACTACAATAAAGCAAATATTAAGAGTGATATGTTCTAGAAATGGGGGTCTATAAAGCATTGGTATCATACGACGCACCAGAATTTGGTTGCAAAGATTTCTGGAATTGGTTGAGCCGAATTGGCTGTTTCTTTTACAAAACATTACCGTACCCACCCCCAAATCTGATGGGATTGTAGAAAGAATGGTACATACAGTAAAAATGGGATTGAAGGTATTTTCTCCATGTAGACAGTTACTTACTAAAGTTACTGCTTAGTTATATGAATGTTCCACATGATGAAAGATCGCAAAACCCAACTGCATTAATGGGAAGACAAATAAGATCTCCATTAATCATTTGAGCCCTGACCACCGCTTTACCGGCGGCAGAGACGTAATGCCCAGCGACCGGTTAAACAGCTGTAGAGAAAATACATTCATGCCCTAAATAAACGGAACCATAATCTCGTGTTCATATGGACCATGAACACATTAATGACGTGGGGCTTTTTTTTAAGTATTTCACCCAAAACAAGGCGGGAGAAGGCAGGAGTGCCACTTGCACGCAAGGGGTTACAGAGAGTGAGAGCAAGAGTAAAGACGGGTGTTTGGGGACAGGATATTAAGAAGGACGGGGATGAGGATCAAGGCATCAGATGATGTCGATTGACATTACATTTGAATATGTGAAGGTTATAGCTGCCAGGGAAGCAAGTGAGACGAAGGGAGTTCCACTGGTGGTTCTACTGAAGGATGAAAACAAGAAACAGAAAAGTGTTGAACTGTTATGTAATATCAATTCTCCTATATGGCAGTGAATGCAAGAAAATTTCCTCACAGATGAAGAAGAGACTTAAAGCAACATAACATCACCGCAAACAAGGACGTTACAGAGATTGAGAGCAAGAGTTAAGAGGATTTTTTGAGGAAACAATAAAGAGAAGATCAGGATCAAAGCCTCAAAATATTTATAGCATATCTTAAGCAAGGCGGGAGTGCCACTAGAACGCAAAAGGTTACAGAGAGTGAGAGCAAGAGTAAAGATGGTTGTTTGAGGAAAGGATAAAGAGAAGGACGGTGATCAGGATCAAAGCATCAGAAGATGTCGATTGACATTACATTTGAATATTTGAAGATTATAGCTGCCAGGGAAACAATTATGTAAGTAATAATAATTAATTAGATGAGAAACCCAAAGCTTCCAGTCAAATGCAGCTTTGTGAATCTCATTGAAAGAAAATGAAAAATTATGAATCACAGTTAAAGAAACTTGTTTTCCCAATGACTTGTGTATTTGAAAGTCTGAAGCATATGATATTACAAGACTTTTTTGACAAAACACTTGTAGCATATCTTAATCAAGCAAGGCGGGAATGCCACTAGCATGCAAGGGGTTACAGAGAGTGAGGGCAAGAGTAAAAAGGGGTATTTGGGGAAAGGATATTGAGAAGGACGGGGATCAGCATCAAGGCATCAGAAGATGTCGATTGACATTACATTTGAATATTTGAAGATTATAGTCATCAGGGAAGCAAGTAGGTGGAAGGGAGTTTCATTGTCGGGAAGTGCGAGAGAAGAAGCTGTTGGAGTGGAAGAGGCGGTTACATTGAACTGTTTCGACAGTGAAAGGGAGGGACCAAGATGCCAAACTAGAAGCACGCTTAAATTCATGCAGTTTGGGTAGCTCGTCAGAGCAGTTGCCATAAAAGTATCTGTGGAAAAAAGAAACAGGGGGAAGCTACAGCATGTTTGTGAAGAAATGACTGTAGAGGAGGTGCCAGGTCAGGACCTATCACATAGCATATCTAAAATAACATAATTTTAGTAGACTCCTTTTCTGGATGGTCTGAAGTCATTAAAAGTAAGTCTAGCAGAACTACAATATAGCAAATATTAAGAGTGTTATTTTCTAGAAAAAGCGTCCCTAAAAAGCACCAAATTAGTTACTGTAGGTTACATTTTTAATACTCACCAAGTACAAGGTTCAAGAACCACTCAAGGTTGAAAGTTACTGCTTGGGGTTGCATGAGCGTAAGGAAAAAAAACAATAAGTGAAGATGATGGGGTTTATGTGGGAAAGATAACAATTAAAAGATCAAGATTGTGATGATTGCGAAAACATCCTACCGGGATTCTTTTCCACAAAGCAGCAGTTCTTGAGAAGAAGCGATTCGAGTGGAACTTCTTTCTTCTTGATGCCTCGGGGTGAGTGGGACTAAGGAATGTAGCTTGTCAGAACAGATGTAAATAACGATAGAGTGGCGAGAGGCTGGTGACGTTTTTTTTTCTGGGTGAAAGGGGTAGGTTGGAAAAGAATCCATTGCTCACAAGGCCGCGTAGACGCTTTTGAACTCGTTCGAGAAAGGTAAGAGAAGACTGGATAGCTCTAACACAGATATGGCAGTAATACTTCAATTTTTATCCTACCTGGTTTGGTTTGGTTTGTTTTACGGCATATCAAATTCAATGGGTTATTTAATGCCGACAAGATTTTCATTGCTGGTAATATTTTTTTATCTATCTATCTATCTATCTATCTATCTATCTATCTATCTATCTATCTCAGTATATATTGGTTTGGTTTCTTTTGTTTTACGGCATATCAATATCAATGAGCTATTTAATCCCGACGAGATCTTTATTGCTGGTAATAATTTTTCTCTCCCTCTCTATCTATTGGTTTGGTTTGGTTTGTTTTACGGCATATCAGCCCCAATGTCAGTCAGCAGTTCACTTTTGAACAGACTGCTCAGTTTGAACTCTCTTCCTACGGGCGGGAGGAACCCGAAAGAGGCTACGCCGAAGGGCGGAGTCTCCTTCGGGGAGGTAAATCCGACCCAGAACCCGTTTATACGGGTTTCAAATGGGCTATTTTTTTTAATGGCTCGGAATGCCTAAAAAAAAACCTTGGCCACATGACACCCTCTCGTGGAATGCCTAATATTAAAAGGCCCAATGGGTTATTTAATGCCGACATTTTCATTTCTGACATCCCTATCTCGTCTATCTATCTATCTACTAGTCTGGTTTGTTTTACGATTACATCTACCTGAATGGGTTATTTAATGCCGATTATTTTATTGTTGGTATCTTTTTATCTATCTATCTATCTATCTATCTCAGTATATGTTGGTTTGGTTTGGCTTGTTTTACAGAATACCCAACCTGAATGGGTTATTTAATACCGACAAGATTATTACTGCTTGTAATATTTTTTTTCCAAAAATACATTGCGGTTTATATTTTTCTTTTCAAAAATATATTGGTAAGAATTTTTTTCTAAAAATCTATTGATGATGATATATTGTGTTTCAAAAATGTATTGCTGGTAATATTTTTCCGAAAATTTACTACTGGTAAAAAATTTTCAAAAAAAATATTGATGGTAATATTGTTTTCAAAAATGTCCTGCTGGTAATATTTTTCCAAAAACGTATAGCCGGCATTAAAACCTATTTTTATACTTTCATAGTGATTGACCCTTTTTTTGTGGTGGAGGATACCTATTTGCCCACAGCTGAGACTTTGAAGGTTGCTACCACTCCGGATCAGGGAGGACCTGGGAACAGTAGTAATTAAGAGTTGGTTACATGCTCCTCAACACCTCTTCATCAAAGGTCTTGCTGTCTGATGTAATTTATCGTCTTACCCAGGACGGGAGTAATAAGGGTTAAGACATAAGCTATGGATCTATCAGCAATACTCCATATACTTGTAAAGATGGCGCAATAAACTAAATATAAATTTTCCTACCATCTTTACCAATATATTGGATGTATAAGTTCAACTTGAGGTGTGGGGAGAGCTTGCATCCCAATATACATCCAAAGCAAGCAGCCTCCTTGAGAGCGAACCCATGTATCATTATGAGCGAAAGTGCAGGGTTTACTCGGTGATGGTGGAACGTTGCTAGTTTGATTTTGGTCATATTGAATTTCACAAGCCGTCATTCCCGTTTAGTTCCACCTGGATGGGGTGAGAGGGAAGATCTGCTGTTTTCTGGTTCGCGTCATTTTGGGAGATGCCCCTAAAAACTGTTGTAGCATCTGCATATATACTCACT